CTTAGGGGGGGGGGCATGCACCCCCCACACCTGATAGATAGCCCTTCATCAGAGCTAAACAGCAATGACAGCATAATAAATCTGAAGCTTCTATGTTGAACAGTTTTCAAGTTGTAAGTATTTTTGTATGTCCAGACACCCCATTTTCAGATGTAGCCCCCTCCTCAAATATGGGATCCATCATACAACCGTTTGCTGGTGCAGTGTAGTGTAAATTTCATGYTGATCGATGCAGCCATTTCTGTGCTACGGTTGATTAAAAATTTCTGAAAAAATAACAAATAATAAAATCAACAAACAGTATGAAAAACATCTATCTGTGTGCTGTGCTACAGACTGCTGCCTGTGTGTGAACTGGGATGAGTGGAGTTACATCAGGCAATACCTAGCTCCTTGTAGAGTCCTGTTGAGATGCCGGCCAAAAGGGACAGGGTGATCAGGTCTCCAAGGCTAGCAGCAATGGGTGTGGCAACATTGTCTGGGTTGATGCCAACTTTTCTGGACGCGACGATGACGCCGATCATAATGATACCTGCAGAATTTTAGATCACAATATGAAAAACATAAGAATTTATAGCTGAGGTTCTAATCTGTCATCCTGTCCAAGACTTGGCGTCCACTTTAATTTAAAACAAATTTTAATCGCCATACAACCTGGAATTTAAATTTGTTTTTTCATTCATTAAAATGAAACTACCAAAAATACTCCAAACTGATGAAAATAAATAAAACCAGCCACATGATTATATGAGTAAGATCCACCTGTGAGTAATTTGAGTGTCAGATGGTTTCAGGCTATATCTTCCTGTTTTCATTAGGACATAAGGAACGGACAAAGAGAACAAACGTGAATACCAACAGTTCTTATCTAGAACTTACTGATGATCAGATGTTGATGTGAAATCTCAAACAAGGACAGGTTGAAATAGACAACTAATCTTCCTTTCTAGTTTCTAAAAGGCTTCATCAGTTCAGAACTCAAGAGCTGGCCTTGAAATTAAAAGTCAGCTAAAAAAAGATTTCTTGCACTCTTGACATAACTTCTTCAGCAAACTTGAAGAAAATGTTTCACTCTTACTGGAGCTAAAACAAAGAGCAAAGCTTGTGTTTTTTCTAAATTATTAAGACTAAAATTTATTTTGTAATTCTGCCTGTTTAAATAACTTTTTAAAGATCATTTGTCCTTTACAAAGAACTGAAAGTTTCAAGCTGAACAAACATTATATGATATGAATCATGTTTCACCTTCAGCCCACATAATGAGTCACAATAAAGTCAAGCTTGATAAACAGCTGTTTACATAGGAAACATGACTGATTTCTTGTATGCTGAGGGTACATCATGAACATGACTGACTTCCTGTATGGCGAGCGTACCAAGCAGCAGAGATGCGATGAAGGCGGTGGCCACACTGGAGGCACATAGCAACACTGCATGGCCCAGTCTGAACTGCCCCTCTGGAAGCCAGCCAAAGATGACAGCAGCTATGGAGGCCAGGAAGCCCACAACAGTGGCCTGAACCTGAAAACACACACACACACACACACACACACACACACACACACACACACACACACACA